GTGTATATTTATTATGTATATATAAATACACACACATACAGTATATATTTAGAAAATATGTACATGTATATACATGTATATATTTATATTTATATAATTTATATGATATATAAATATAATTCAACTATACAAATATAACATATTTTTCTTAAATATATACATGCATGTGTGTGTATTTATATACAAAATAAATATACACGTACACATATATATTATGTAAACAAAAACTTTTATTTTGGATGCGATTAATTGCGATTTAAGGACACTCTCGCGAGGAGACATTTAAGCTTTCTATCAAAATGTCCCGAACTGAAAAGAATGATTTTCTGCTTTTATGTGTACTGCTTATTATGGTAAATAATAACAACTTGAGACATGTATCTCCGCGAGGCATGTGACGTCAGTAGTGGTAGGGATCTCAGTGAGTCGAATCTATTGAGTCTCTTAAGCAAAATGATTCATTCAGTAGATCTTTCTGCTACACCAGTGAGTGTTTCTATATCAGTGTGTGGTGAATGAGTCACTGAATTGTTCACTTTATCAAGTCGATCAAAGCACCGAATCCAAGCAAGGGTCTGGAGTCCTTGCTTTTAAGTTTTCTTTCGCGCCGACAATAGATTGAAGAAAGTCGACTTGAAATAAATCCACAAAATCTATTTTCTAACTGCACATCATAGATCTTATTGTGAACAATACATCCGTAAATATGTCTAATTTTTTACATTTTTTAATCAATATGTCATAACTGGACCTTCCTGTGAAAATGTCAAATGATTAATCACGATTAATAGCATCCAAAATATGTGTGTGTACTGTGTATATTTATTATGTATATATAAATACACACACATACAGTATATATTTAGAAAATATGTACATGTATATACATGTTTCACTGAAAATATTCAGTCCCTAGTAGTCGTCATAATGAGCGGCTGCGGGAAAAGCCAAGATGGCAGTTAGGAATGTTCAGAGAGTGAGAGATCTGCTTCTGTTCCCCATGAATTCCTCCGCACTCCCCTCAGCTCGCAGGCAGGAGAAGCAGCTAAAATAGGAAACAGGAAAGGGCAGACCGTGGAAATGGAAAAATTCCTAGCATTCTTAAATGGTCTTCTGAAGTACTTTAATGCAGAAAATTATACATCCAGTCCATTGTGATATTTGACTTTAGTATTTGCAACTTTACAGATCTTCTTTATGCACCAAGAGCTTGTAACACTCCAAAGAGAAAGGAAAAATTGAAATCGCATCATATGACCCCTTTAAGTGTTATTATGTGACTGATGACAGTCATCATTTTAGTTGCTTATGGTGTCACAGTTCACACAGATGAAGTCATCCTTACCATGAATAAAGCTATATTTACTCACTCTGCATTGTTGACCTTATGGCTATTTTAGATATATTTCAAAAGACCCTAAGAAGACTTCAGTAGGAGTGTTGGTTAGGACTCGTTCAGGTGTTCTGTGCCTGTTCCACAGTGGATTTCAGTTCATATTTCTCCACACAGTAGCTCTGGATTCCTCAGAAGTTGTCATTGTTTTTTGTTTTTTAACTGACTCAAGATATTTCAAGCTGGGACATGTTGTCCTCACACACACATTATCTTTGTTGCACAGGAGTTTCACAGGTGGTGTTGGGTATTTTCCACTGCTAACAAACCCAGTGTGTAGTTTTTTTTTAAATGTGTTTACGGCCTTGAGCTCTCTGTCCTTTGGGTAGAGGATGCCCTGTTTATGTTGCTTCAGGATGTGCTAGTCTTCACCATCAACACTGTATATAATACATGAGTCAAAAATAGCAAGAAAATTCTGACATGTAGCAAAACTGTACTGGATCTAGTGTGTAGAGTAATTATTTCAGGAGGAATTTCTATAAAATTCCAACACAACTGAAAGTGAAAGCACAAAGTTTTATAGCTGTTTTAAATGCACAGTAGTGTGTTGTAGTATGTGCATGCAAATTTTCCCTATTTTTAAGTTCATCTTTAAAAACACTAATAATTTAATAACACCGTTAAGTGTAATATTTAGCAAATCTCAAAATGAATATCCATTGTCATAGTGTACATTGTAATGCTGTGATACCTAAGTGTACTAAATGACTGATTTAAATTTATAAATATACAGTACACTAACTTTAAGTTTAAAAAGTGACTGTAAAGACATTTATAATGTTACAAAATATCTCTATTTCAAAAAATGCTGTTCTTTTGAATTTTTCATTCATCAAAGAATTTGGCATTGGGTTGAAATCAAATATCTAATGAAGATACAGTTTCAACAAAGGAAAGGACAGGGTTCCACATTTTATAAAATGAGTTAACAGAGTCTCTAATGGAGTATTTAATTTTTTCCAGATGTAGAAAGGACATTAAGTCCTTCAACCAAGAAAAATTAGAAGGGGGACATGAGGACTTCCAATGTAACAGTATTCGTCTTTTTCAGCATGACACTTGTTGTACATGCCATCAGCAGGGGGTACTCCAAAAATTGCAATTATTGGGCAGGGTTTCACAGAAACATTAAGAGCCTTTGACAATGTAGCAAAAAAAGAAGACCAGAATGGATACAATTTAGGACATGTATAAAATGAATGAGTATGATCTGCTGGGGATAGCGAACATCTATTGCACCCATCATCTTCTGTTAAAGAAAGTTTCTTCAGCTTTGCCTTGGTGAAATGAATTCTGTGAGCAACTTTGAACTGAATAAGATTCAAACGAGCACAAATACAGACAGAGTTAATTTTAGCTAGAGCATTATTCCACAACTCCTCGTCAAGATCCAGTCCTAGCTCCCTCTCCCAGGTTTCCTTGAGTGCTAAAAGAGGAGGGAACTGTGAGGAACGCAGCAGGCCACAAATTGAGGAAATATGGATGTGTGATTTCGAAAGTGACATAACTTCAATTAAAGTTTCCTTTGGCTGGTGAGGGAAGGTGGCAAAATGTGCTTTAGCAAAGTCACGTAATTGAAAATAGCGAAATAAATTGGATTTGGAGATTTTGAATCTACTCCGCAAATCATTGAATGTCACAAATGTGTGATTGCAAAACAAATCCTGAAACGATACCAAACCCTTCTCCTTGAGCTGTGCAAAAGTTGAATCCAAAGCCGAAGGTGTAAAAAGGCGATTACCACAAATCGGCATATAAATGGATATTTTACTTTATTTTTGAAAATCAACCATTGGTCTGTCGATAAACTGAAAATAGTTATGGGCCTATCATTATTGACAGAGTGCATCCCTAATGAAAACACTTTAAAAGCGAGTGTGTTAACCAGATGAATCACGCAGTGGACTCTATTTTAATTAGGGCTGGACAATAATTCAATATCAATATGTATCGCGATATAATTTTTTTCAATAACGGTGATATGATTTTTAAACACATACAATAATGTACAGTATGTGGAAAATAATGTGTTTTTTGAACTTTAAACCGCATAAACACATTTCATTACACCAAATACACAAAATAATGTTCTTTTTAGCAGCATCATATGACCCCTTTAAGCAGCACAGGTCTACTCACAGCCTGATGCAGTCTGGTCTGTTTTTGTTGGTTGTTGCTCTTAGAGTCATGCAGCATGTGAGGTGGCATGTGTGATTCACACACTCCTCTTCGCACGCATACACCCACATGCATTACCTGTCACCCGTGCTCAACTCTCCCATAGATGCGAGATGATAATGTTACGATGAAGCCATCCACTCACTCTCACCTTCTACTTTAATCTGCTGTCAACCCACACAAGTACGTTTCGAGCTCATGAGCTCACATGCATGCACACAGACCTTGTTACACAATACACAATGTATACATTTTGGCCTTTAAAACACACAAATTGTACTAAACACACATTGCTCACAACACAAACCCTCTTCCTCATGATAGC